ATTTTGAATATCCCTCTTATTTTTTGTATGGTAGTGGGGATAATCATAGGCAGTCTTTATTCATAGTACACATGAAATGTTTCCTGGCCACAAGAGTACCTCTCAGACTTAACAATTGCTTCTGTTTGATGTCAGTCAATAAGTTGGCCTCTTTTACATTGCTTTAATCACCAATTATAGTTGGATGGACATGTTGCTTTAGCCAATGGCACTCTGAGAGCTGTCATGCACTGCTGTTTTCTTTGTTTCAAAGCAGGTATTTTTGTCTGAAATATATTTAATAATCTGAAAGGTATGTCCATGAAAGAAGTTGTGTATCTTCTAATGTGTAGGCAGTATAGTAACGGCGTAGTAAACACATGATTAAAGATAAAATATTTTTTATGCGTTATAGAATTTCTCCTGATAGGAAAAATACTCCAGAGTATTTTTAGTAAGAGCTAAATAAGAAAAACAAAAAACCACTCTCTTTGGTTATTTCTGTACTGAGTCTGCCTTTCTGGGTCCCTTTTACACTGACATCAGCAAAGGTAAGGTAGATTAACTTTAAATGTCAGCAGTGGGAGAGAGTCAGACGTGCTGATAGCTTGATATTAAAGCAGATCAGATCACTCCTGCTGCCTCTTAGGTTTATGTTTTTTGCATGCAGGTGTGTCTGCTGGAAGTGGAGTTGAAAGCCTTTATGAAGCATTGGAGTGAGTTATGAATAAAATGTAGGCCAAGGTGGAAAGAAACAAACATGACTTTCCCATAGCCTTGGAAATTTTTGTGGCTGTAAGGCTCTGAATGCTTGATGTGCCTTATTATGGCTTTAATTGCTGCTCTGGTGTAATATTCACCAGTCTCATGAAAGAATATGGGAGTTTTGACTCATGCTGAGATTTTTATCTTCATTCTTCACAGTCTTGAGCTTTGTATATTTTTTATAGCTAATGTATAATGAATAAATCACTGCAAAAGTAGGCAAGTGCATTCACCTGCATTTTGGTGTCATGTGGCACACGAGGAAAATGCCATGGCTAGCGTAAGATGCTGGGATAGTCACACTTTTTGGGTGAGGCATTCTAGATGTAATTGATTTAATAATTTTAAACCAGTATGTATTTGTACAGCAGTGCAATTAGAATTATTATAATTTTTTTTCATTCTAAAACTGGACAAAGACTCAAGACAGTATTCTTGAAGCCTCTACATTTTCTTTAGTCCTAAATCCACTGTGCTAATAAAAATGAGGATTGGAAATTTTAACATAAGAATCTTTGTAATTTTGTTCATGATTAGATATTTATTAAATGTGGTACAGTCATTGAAATGGCTATGTTTGTGTTTGGATTTTGAGTTATATCAACTCACTTTGTAAATTTGCCATGTACTTTTTAAACTCTTTCTAGTGTTGTTCTTAGTTTCATTGCATAGATTTAGTTGTGTGAGGTGTTGAATTGCAGATATTTGTAAGTGTTGGGTTTGTGTGAGCAGGCCTTGGAAGTGGGGGGCTACTCCCCATCTGTTTGTGCTGCTGGGGAGAAGGAGATGGAGCCTGGGAAGGAGTGAGGATTGGGGAAAGATTTATCAAGGTTTATTCCATTTCTCATTATCCTCTGATTTTGTTAGTAATAAATTCAGTAATTAGCAATAAATAATTAGTAATAAATATTCAGTAATTACTAATTAATTCAGTTAGTATCTCTAGGTTGAGTCTGTTCTGCCCATGGAGGTATTCAGGGCGTGATCTCTCTCTCAGCCCTGCCCTCAGCCCATGAGCACTTGGTTCTGTTTTCTCTCCCCTGTCCAGAGAGGCAGTGACAGAGCAGCTCTGCTGGGTGGGTGCCTCTCAAGCCCCTTTTATTTTTTATTACCCTGAAGGCTGAGCTGTGCCCATCTGCAGTGTGCAGCCCAGTGTCACAGCCTCTCTGAGGGCACAGTGCTCTGCTGTGTGCATGAGACTCTTCAAGGTGATTTAGAATGCACATCAGTTATGGAAATAGCTCATTTAAAACCCATGATTCATGTAACCTGTCAGAATCCAGATCCTGATCTCTCTGCTGTCACAGACTTTCTCACTGCTGTAGATTTATAACTAATTTAAAAGGAGTGTAGCAGTGATTTGTGCTTGCTGGAGAAGTGGTCTAGTCCAGAGAGCTGTTGTATCTGTACAAAAGGAAGGAAAAGCTATAGTTTTGTGAAATATTTTGAAACTTAATCTGACAGGTTTTTCTGCCCGTATGAATAAGTGCAAAGGTGTGGGGGGATAGAATGTAAGAAAATAAGGATAGTACAGAAGGTAATCTCACACCTGAGGAGTTCCAGCTGTACTAATCATCAAAGATTAGGAACAGCCCTGCCCTTAACAGGCCACAGGTGTGCCCAATAAGGATGAGTGCTAGAAAAGAATCCTTAACTGGCCACAGGTGTGTCCAATAAGGATGAGTGCTAGAAAAGAATCCTTAACTGGCCACAGGTGTGCCCAACAAGGATGAGTGCTATAAAAGAATCCTTAACTGGCCACAGGTGTGACTAGTAAGGAAGAGTGCTATAAAAGAGAGGGTCAGCTGGTCCAGAAGAGAGTTGGAGTTTTTGGCTGTGAAGAGAGTTTTGGAGTTTGTTTGCTGTACTGTGAAGGAGGAGTTATTGGAATATGTATCCCAATATAACCAGTTAGATGGTGCCTAGGCCAGTTCTGACCTTCGCTGCTGGGCCAGAGGCAGCACTGCGGTGTTTTACC